CAGCCTCCCAAAGTGTTGGATTACAGGTGTGAGCTACCGCGCCCAGCTCCACATAACCTTCTTATAAGGACATTAGTCACTGGATTTAGGGACCACTCTAATCCAGTACTGTCTTATATTAACTTGGTGACATCTGCAAGGAACTTATTTTCAAATTAGGTCAAATTCACAGATACTGGGGGGTTTGGACTTCAACATATTTTCAGTGGAGACAGTGATTTACCCCCCAACAAGAGGTCCTTCATGTTGTAAAATATATGGGAGCTTCATTCCTTTATATGGCGAGTAATACTCCATTGTATGAATAAACCACATTTTATTTATCCATTCTTCAGTTGATGGGCCTTTAGGAAGTCGTTTTCTGCTTTTTGCCTACTAATAAATATTGCTGCTATGAACATCCCTGTAAAGCTTTTGTATGGATATGTTTTCATTTCTCTTGGGTATGTATCTAGAGTTGAGTTGCAGGATCATAGAGGAACTGCCAGACTGCTTTTCACAGAGGCTGTCCTATTTTACCTCCCCACGAGCAGTGTGAGCAGTGTGTTTCCTCCGTCCTCACCGACAGTAGCTATGACCTATTTTGGATGACAGCTGTCCTAGCAGATGGGAAGTACTACCTTATTGTGGCTTCAGTTCCATTGCCCTGATGGCTAATGGTGTTGAGCATCTTTTCACGTGCCTTTGCCTATTTATACATCTTCTTTGGAGAAATAGCTAATCAGATATTTTGTCTATTTTAAGATTTGGTTATTTGTCTTCTTAAGAGTCCCTTAGCAAATATATAATTCACAGAAAATGTCCTCCCATTCTTTGTGTCTGTTCACTATCTTGATGTAGGGCCCTCTGAAGCCAAAAGTTTAATGATGTCCAGTTTATTTTTTATTGTTCCTTGTGCTTTGGTTTCATATCTAGGAAACGAGTGCCTAATCCAAGATCACAAAGATTACACCTATGTTTTCTTCTAAGAGTTTTATGCTTTTAGCTTCCACATTTCATTCTTTGACCCATTTTGAGTTAATTTTTACATATGGTGAGAGCTGGGGGTTGAATTTCATTCTTTTCCATATGGATGTCCAGTTCTCCCAACAACATGGGTTTGAAAGATTATTATTTCCCCCACTGAATTGTCTTGGCAGCCATGTCAAAGATCAGTAGACTACAGACGTATGACTTTATTTCTGGACTCCTAATTCTATACCATTGATCTACATAGGTGTGAGCTGTTGCACCCAGCCTCACACTGTCTTCATTACTGTAGTTTTGTCGTACCTTTAGAAGTCAGGAAGTCTGCATCTTCCAACTTTGTTCTTTTTCAAGATTACTTTGACTATTCTGGGTTTCTCAGATTTCCATATGAATTTTAGGATCAGCTTGTCAATTTCTGCAAAGAAGTCAGCTGGGATTTTGACTGGGATTACTTTGATCGGTAGATCAATTGGGGGAGCATTGCTATTTTAACAATATTAAGTCTTTAGCTCTGTGAATATGGGATGCCATTGTGTTTATTTAGGCTTAATTTCAACAATGTTTTGAAGTTTTCAGGGTATAAGTTTTATGCTTATTTTATTAAATTTATTCGTATTTTATTCCTGTTGACGTTATTATAAATGGAATTGTTTTCACTTCATTTTCAGTTTCTTCATTGCTATTATGCCGAAATAAAATTGATTTTTGTATAGTGTTCTTGTCTCCTATACCCTTGGTGAATTCATTTATTAGTTCTAATGTTTTTTTAAAATAGATTCCTTAAGATATTCTATATGCAAGATCATGCCATCTGCCTTTGTTGTTGTTGTCTTGCCAGTTGTGCTGGCTTCAATCTCCAGTACAATGTTTATTAGATGTGGTGAGAGCGGAGGAGGAAGGTATGCATCTTTCACCATTAAGTGTGATGTTAGCTGTGGATGTTTTATAGCTGACCTTTATCAAGTTGAGGGAATTCCCTTATATTCCTAGTTTTTTGAATTTTTATCATGAAAAGGTACTGGATTTAGTCAAATACTTTTTCTAGTGTCTACTGAGATAATCTTACGGGTTTTTTTTCTTTTATTAACACAGTGCATTGCATTGATTTTTGTATGTTGAGCCAGCCCTGTGTTTCTGTGATAAATCCTACTTGCTCATGATATCTTTTTTATGTGTTGCTAGATTTCAGTTTACTAGTGTTTTGTTGAGGATTTGTGTGTGTGTATTCATGAGGGATATTGGTCTGTAGTTTACTTGTGATGCCTTTGCCCAGTTTTTGTATCAGGGTAATTCTGGCCCTATAGAATGAGTTGGCAAGTGTTCCCTCCTGATTTTTTGAAGCATCTAGGAAGGATTGGTATTAATTCCTTAAATGTTTGGTAGATTTTACTAATGAAGCTATCTTGAAATTTTCTTTGATCACTAATTTAATATCTTAAATTTGTAAATAAAATATGTACTAAGTTTTTTTTTTTTTTTTTTTTTTTTTCTGTCGCCCAGGCTGGAATGCAGTGGTGCCGTCTTGACTCACTGCAAGCTCCGCCTCCTGGGTTCACATCGTTCTCCTGCCTCTGCCTCCCGAGTAGCTGGGACTACAGGCGCCCGCCACCACGCCTGGCTAATTTTTTTGTATTTTTTTAGTGGAGATGGTTTCACTGTGTTAGCCAGAATGGTCTCGATCTCCTGACCTCGTGATCCACCTGCCTCCTCCCAGCGTGCTGGGATTACAGGCGTGAGCCACCACGCCCAGCCTGTACTAAGGTGTTTTATTTCTCCTTGAGTCAGTTTAACTTTTGAGTCACTAATTTATGTTATTGAATTTGTTGGCATATAGTTCATAGTATTAATTCATTTATTTTTATTTCTTTTCCCAGATGTTTTTAAAGCTAAAATTTCCCTCTGAGCATTGCTTCAGCCATTTCCCATAGCTTGTGACATGTATTTTCATTTTTAATATAATTTTGCGATTTCTGTTTGTATTTCTTCCTTGATTCAATTGTTGTTGAGAATTTCTTAAAACATTTTTGAGGCCAGGTGCAGTGGCTCATGCTTCAAACTCCTAGACTCAAGGGATTCTCCCGCCCAGCCTCCCGGGCAACTGTACTACAGGCACAGTTACCTTTTCAATTGTGTTTTCTTGTAATACCGTTGTACTCCTCCATCTCCCAGTGTGTCTTTGATTCATAAAGCATAAGGGATCCATTTTGGTATGTCTGTGAAATGGGTCTCTATGCAATCTTTTTTTTTTTTTTTTCAGATGACTGCCCATTTGTCTCAGCAATACTTATTAATTTATGGATATTTATTTTTGGAAGTCATGAGTTCAGCACTGGGAACAGATTAGGTTACCTAGGAATACATTGTGGAGTGAGAAAATAGGGCCTAGGCCTGAATTTTGAAAGGTTCCCAAAATGTCAACAGTTGAAGAGGATGAATCAACAACAAAAAACCACTCAGAGAGATGAGAAGCCTCTGGAAGTGATTCTGTCAGTAAAAGGGAGAGACTGGCTAAGTCAAAGCTTGCTGAGAGATTCAGGAAGTGTAGAACAGAAGTTGTTCACAAGATCCAGCCACACGGACACCGTGGACCTTGGTGACTGCTGTTTGGAGGAGAGACGAGGGCAAATGTTAGATTAGGGTGGGTTCAGAAGTCAGCAAGAAGTGGGAGATGGCAAACAGTGAGACTAGTTGCAAGAAGCTTATCTGTGAAAGGCAGGAGAGTGAAGAGGAAGGTTTTAAAGATGAGAGAAACCGACACAGGGGCTCACGCCTGTAATCCCAAAACTTTGGGAGGCTGCAGAGGGGAGGATCACTTGAGCCCAGGAGTCTAAGACCAACATTGGCAACAGGTTGAGATCCTGCCTTTACAAATTTTTTTTTTTTTTTTTTTTTTTTTGAGATGGTGTCTCGCTCTGTTGTGCCCAGGTCGGAGTGCAGTGGCACAATCTCAGCTCACTGCAACCTCTGCCTCCTGGATTCAAGCGATTCTCCCGAGTAACTGGGATTACAGGCGCCGCCACCACACCCGGCTAATTTTTTGTATTGTTAGTAGGGATGGGGTTTCACCATGTTGGTCAGGCTGGTCTCGAACTCCTGACCTCAGGTGATCCACCGCCGTGGCCTCCCAAAGTGCTGGGATTATAGGCATGAGCCACTGCTCGGCCCCCAAAGTGTTTTAAAAATTAGCCAAGTGTTGTGGCTAATAGTAAGGATCCAGTGAAGAGGAAGAGGTGGAGGCAACAAGTGAAGAGACTGGTGATCAGTAGTGAAGGGCTTCTGACACGGCAGCGTGAGAACTAAGCCTGAGGCAGAAGGGCCTGCTTTGTTGCAGCAGGTGAGGAGATGAGGATGGAGAGAGGACTCTCTTTGTTTCCTCCTTTATTGTGATCAGAGCAGCAATAGGTTAGAGGTGATGATGGAGGTAGGATGGTGGGTGCCTGTGAGTTCCAGCAGAGGTCAAGGGTCATGTTGTTGAGGGGCCTGCTGAGGTGGAGGTGTGGTGACCACATTGCAGATCCAGAGGGTCACCCCATCTAATCCCCAGTTAGGACCTTTAGCTTGGCTGTCGCACCTGGGGTAGGGGCCAAGCGTTCAGCTTTTCATAGCCCGTTACTTTTCCTCCCATCCCATCTTCCACATTTATTACCCTGCTAAAGCCCCTCTAGCCATGGCCTCATTCTTGTTGCCCGGGTGGTGCAGAGAGCCTCTCATGCACTGATCCCTGGTACCCCCAGCTTGGAAGGCTGGCAGAGCACCCCATACTCTCAGGCCCTGGTGGTTCTGATCCCTGTTGGAACTCCCCTGTAAGCAGCCTCTGCCTGTGTGGCTTAGAAGGTGAGCAGAGATCATCTAGATACTAATTTCTATCGCTGTGGTCTTCTTGGGGGGATGTCCAGCCTCTGGTATTCTCATCTGGGAAGACCATTGCAGTTGACTCATCTTATTGGAAGCTGTGAAATGCAGTTTCGAGGCAGAGGAGATAATTTTGTGCTTGCCTTCTGGCTCAGTCCTGAGTATCCTCTCTTCTGCAGGGGTACACAAACTTGCCTGATTCCAGGGATGTATGGATAGGGGATGAGCGAGGAGGCCTTTCTGCAGTGAGGAAGAACTCCGCCTACGGTGAGTTGCGGGGAGTGTTGGGGATAGCCAGCTGCCTGGTTTGGGGACTCGGGGGCTGATGGCTGCTAGATCTTAGTGGGTCACTGGTCTGCGGGAGAGCTGTTGCTGTCCTGAGGCCATCACAGGGTCTCCACCTATTTCTTGTAGGCCGCAGAGCCTCCCTGGGCAGTTGCTGCTGTTCACCATCCAGTCTGTCCAACTCGGGGACCTGCTTTTCCTCCTCCTATCAGGATTTGGCCAAGCACGTCGTGGACACTTCTATGGCTGATGTGAGTAACTGCTCCTGCCCGTCCCCACCATTCCTTTACCTAGACCTCTGCTGGGTGTGCAGGAAGAGAAAATAGGAAAAAAGCTGGACAGATGAGGAGCCCAAGGCTTATGGGCATCTTCAGTGGTTCTTCATCTTGAGAAAAGGGGAATTCAGGCCAGGTGTAGTAGCTTATGCCTGTAATCCCAACATTTTGGGAGGCTGAAGCGGGACGATCACTTGAGGTCAGCAGTTCGAGACCAGCCTGGGAAGCATAGCAAGACCCTGTTTCTACAAAAAAATAAAAACATTAGGCCAGGCGTGATAGCTCACACCTGTAATCCCAGCACTTTGGGAGGCTGAGGTGGGAAGATTGCTTGAGTCCAGGAGTTCAAGACCAGCCTGGACAACATGGTGAGAGTCTGTTTCTACCAAAAAATACAAAAAGATAGCCGGGTGTGGTGGTGTGTACCTGTAGTCCTAGAGACTGGGAGGCTGAGGTGGGAGGATCGCTTAACCCCAGGAGGTTAACGCTGCAGTGAGCCGTGATTACGCCACTCCACTCCAGCCTGGCTGACAGAGCTAGACCCTGTCTCAAAAAAAAAGAAAAGGAGAATTGAGCAGAGGCAGGCCAGACTGACCAACCCGGGGGCTTAGTTTTTACGATGCCTCCTAATTTGGGTGTGGCCATTGTGTCCCCAGGTAATGGCTGCTTGTTCGGATAATTTGCACAACCTCTTCAGCTGCCAGGCAACAGCTGGCTGGAAGTAAGTTTGTGTGGGGTCCTTTGTCCAGTGTCTGTCTTGGTCCTAAGCTTGTCACTCTGCTCGGCTTCTCTCCTCCCTTCCCTTACCTGGATTCCTCGAGTCTTCACTCTGAGCCCCTCCTTTGTGACCCTTGGAGCCCATTTTTGACTCCCTCCTATTTTCTGTGCTTGGTGTCTCCCCCCAGCTACCAGGGTGAGGAGCAGGCGGTGCAGCTTTACTACAAGGTGTTTTCTTCCACTCGGCATGGCTTTCTGGGGGCAGGTGTGGTGTCCCAGCCGCTGTCTCACGTGTGGGCGGCTGTCAGTGACCCCAGTCTATGGCCCCTGTATTACAAGCCCATCCAGACAGCAAGGCTGCATCAGCGAGTGACCAACAGCATCAGCCTGGGTGAGCCCAGGGAAGAAAGGCTTCCACGGGGCCTGGCTTCTGGTGTGCCCAGTGGGGTCCTGCTAGGGGATAGAGGTGGTGGAGGGTTGGAGGCAGCCCTATTGGGAGGCCAGGTACTCAGGTTACCTTGATTGCTCAGCCTAGGTTGAGCTAGGTGTCAGGTGATGGGGTGATGGCGGGGGGCTCCCTGACCGGGAAGGCTTTAGGACTAGGTCTGTCCATGGGCCTCCTGACCCGCCTCATCCCTGTCCCTCCAGTGTACTTGGTGTGCAATACTACCCTGTGTGCATTGAAGCAGCCGCGGGATTTCTGTTGTGTCTGCGTAGAAGCCAAAGAGGTGCCTGCCTTGGTGGTAAAGATGTTGTGGGAAGAACTTGGGCTGAAGTGTCATGAGAAAATCTATGTGGGCATCAGGTCCTTTAGGGGAAGGAGGGCAAGTTGGGGCTGGAGCCAGAGTAGGGGTGACTTGAAGGCTGGCCCAGTGTTGCCTTTCACCATACTGTCTACACGGGAGCCTGTTCCTGTTTTGTCCACACCACACAGGCAGACTCCCACTTCCCTCTGTCCGCAGGGTCACCTGTCTGTCATGGCAGCCCAGTCTGTGTATGATACATCCATGCCAAGACCCAGCAGAAAAATGGTTCGCGGGGAGATCCTGCCCAGTGCCTGGATCTTGCAGCCTGTCACTGTGGAAGGGAAGGAAGTCACCAGAGTCATCTACTTGGCCCAGGTGATAAATCCTTTGTGGCCGGCCTCACAGCACAGGCTGACTTGGTCCCACAGCCCCCTGGGATTTTTCTCTCGCTGTTGAACATCCTCCAGTGCCCAGGCCCTTTGGCCTGAGACCTGGAGACTCAAGGGCTTCCTGAGCTTGCAGTAAAGGGAGTCACTGGGGAATTGGAGAGAAGGGAATGAGACAGGCATTCATCAATCTTTTCTGAAGCTGCTGTTACCAAAAACCTAGTGACCAGCATCCTGTGGGTGATCCCAGTGTCCTTAGGAGATAGATGAGTCATTGTGAGGCAAAAGCAGCAACCTCGGCAGAGTGATGACCTGTTTGGTTCACCTTTCCCCTCCCAGTCCCTTGACTTGTACTTTGTCACCAGGAGGTGAACACCAATGCTTAGATCTGAATAGCAGAGCCCAGGGGCCTGTAAACACTAAGCCACAATCTGAGGTGCTTCTCCCATCACCACAGGCTGGGGGAACTCCACGGGGCTGGAGTGCGCCTGGCACACTCTCTCAAATCTATTTGCACCTTAAATTCTTCTCTCTCTGCTTTCAGGTGGAACTTGGTGCTCCAGGCTTCCCACCTCAGCTCCTGAGCTCTTTCATCAAACAGCAGCCACTGGTAATAGCCAGACTGGCTTCCTTCCTTGGTAGCTAGCATCTCACCATCAAGATGGTGCTGCTGAGATGCAGGCCCAGGCTGCTCAAGAGAGACACTGTGGCAGCTCCTTGTTACTTTCCATACCCCAGTGCAGGAAAAGCTGATGCTACCTGCTGTGGCCGACTGGGGCAGACAGCACTGGCCCACGGATGCCAGCAAAGCCCGGTCAGTACTTGGTCACAGCTGGCACCAGTGCAGAGCAAACGGCCTGAGCTCCTGGCCCAGGCTATCCAGAGTGAATGCAGCTCAGCTCCTTTTGAATTTCTCACCTTTCTTTCCTGTTTCTGGGACTCTGCAGCAAAGAGGCCACTTAAGGACTGGGACTGGGCACAGCCAGCAGAGCCAGGGGACTGCAGTGCTTTGGCAAGGTGCTTCTGCAGGCTGGTAGGGAAGCAGGCAGCCACTGGCCAAGACTCTGCTCTGAATCTACCTCCAGCATTCAGCTCTACTGTGTGATGGGACGTTAAAAATACCAAAACAGAAAGAGGGTTCAAAAAACAGCTGCACAAACCAGAACACGGATTCAGAATCTTTTCTCCCTCTTGAATTTTTGCAAAATACTTTCTTATTGATTTTTGTTTTGTTTTTTTTTCCTCCCTTTCTCTCCCAGGAGAAGACACTTGGGTCTTGGCATGAGTCGGGGTGTTGAGCGACGATGCTCTGATACGGAGCCGTCACTCTAGAGCTCGGTCAGATGGAAGACACTGTAGAACCAGGTTGGACAGATTTGGGGTCAGGGTCGGGGGCTGAGCTCTTTTGAGGACTTGTGGGAGCGGCAGCCAGATGCTGGTTGCTGACAAGGCAAGAGGAATTTCAGAGATTAAACATTGTCCTTTGAGGGAGAGGAGGTGAATGAACTCCCAGAGGAGGGGAGTGGCTCGTTGGGAGGAAGCTCAGTTCCAGAACTGACCTCAGTGCACTTGGGAGGCGTGAAGTCCTGAGCATTCCATGATTTCTGCTCTGGCCCCACCTATCCTAGGATGGGATTGGAAGGGATGGAGAGTGGGTTCGGTGTTCTTGTACTTTAGTCTGGCTGAACATGAACTCTGAATATTCTGTTTACCTGGAAGTGGCAGGAGTGGGAAAGATTCTCATCTTTAGTTCTCGTGCCCAAAATCTTTGGTAGATGGAGGGTAACTGGGGATTCAGAAGATGTGGTAGAAGGTGTATTTCTGTATAGTGTGGCAAAGATGTATTTTTCTGAAGTGTTGGCAGGGCATTTTTCCCTCTTACCTCAGACTAAGTTATTTATATATTGTTGATTGAAGGTTTTTTAAAATTGCTTTTAAACTTCTTTTTCTCGGGTAAATTTTTTTTGGTGACATGATATATTTAACACCCTATTTATATACTCCTTCCTCTTTTCATATAAATCTCTTACTAAGACTACTGACCAAAAAAGTCAGAACATTTTTAAATTGAAAGTCCTCTGTGTACTTTATCTAGTGAAGAGTAGATGAAATACTGCACTAGGATAGCCTAAGTGTGTGATTCGAGCTTGGCAGAGGTAGCTGGAGATCACACTGGCAATACCCACTCGTAGCCGTCTCAAAGATTCAGTTTACATGTAGGTACAGTTTCCCATGAACTTGGCATTGCTTTGCAGGGTAAATAGCAAGCAGGTAAGTTGCTCAACTGTGACCCAAGTAAGAACTGAAGGGGAGGATCCAGAGCCATCACTGCCACACCTAACACTGACCACAGTGCCCTGGGGCTTCTGAGGCAGAGCCACCTATGGGAATCTGAGTTGGGGGATAACCAGGAGGTGACCCTGTCCACCTTAATAGAGAAGCCAGCTGGGCGCGGTGGCTCACGCCTGTAATCCCAGCACTTTGGGACGCCAAGGCAGGTGGATCACCTGAGGTCAGTTCGAGACCAGCCTGGCCAACATGGTGAAACCCAGTCTCTACTAAAAATACAAAAAATTAACCAGGCATGGTAGTGCATACCTGTAATCCCAGCTACTTGGGAGGCTGAGGCACAAGAATTGCTTGAACCTGGGAGGTGGCGGTTTCAGTGAGCCAAGATTGTGCCGCTGCACTCCAACCTGGGTGACAGAGTGAGACTCCGTCTAAAAAAAAAAGCCACACACCAGACCTGACTGAATCAGCAACCGAAAAGATTGAGAGGGATCTTGTAGCAAAAAGCAAAAGTGGAGTCAGATTTTGGTTTCACGGGGTGGTTCTCATACTTTTGGTGTATCAGCATCACCTGAAGGCTTTCTTATGCCCCCAGGCTGGGCCCTACCCCAAGTTACTGGTTTGGTCGCCCCGGGGAGGGACCAGAGCATTTGTGTTAACAAGAAGTCCCAGGGGACCCTGAAGTTTGCTGGTCTGGGGACCACATTTTATGAACAGCTGGCTTTGACAGTTAGAGAGCAGACATACAGAAAACAATCTGATGAGTTCACTGCACTAGCTGCCTATCTCCATAATCCTTAGAGTAGCCTCCCACAGACCAGCAGGAAGTTCCCTTCATCGGGAACATGTTCAATTTCCATTCAGATTCCCAAGAACTCGTTTTGAACTCAGTGGGCCTTAGCCAGGCCTGGGTTATGGCCCAGGCCTTCAGTCTCAGCATCCTTAGGGGTTTCAGATTTTCCTCTCCTGCCCATCACATGTCACACACCTCATCTGGGTCGTCTGGAACAAGTCAAGAGGTAGCCATGAGCCTGACACTGACCCTAAGCTTCCTGGGGGCAGTGCTGTGGTTTAATCACACTCCATGCTGGTCTCTGGGCATAGAAAGCTTTTTTTTTGAGACAGGGTGTCACTCTGTAGCCCAGGCTGGACTGCAGTGGCGTGATCATGGCTCACTGTAGCCTTGACCTCCTGGGCTCAGGTGATCCTCTGACCTCAGCCTCCCAAGTAGCTGGGACCACAGACATGGACCAACACTCCTGACCAATTTTATTCTGTATTTTTTTATAAAGATGGGGTTTCCCAGTGTTGCCTGGGCTGGTTCAAACTCCCGAGCACAAGTGATCCTCCCACTTGACCTCCCAAAGTGCTGGGATTACAGATGTGAGCCACCGTGCCCGGCCGAGAAAGCATTCCTTAAACCTTTTTTGGTTCCCGGGCATTCAGAACAAATTGGATTTAAAGGATAAAGATAAAGGCCTTTGAAAATGAAGAGATCAGGGGAAAAGGTTCAGATGCAGAAACTTTAAGTAGCTGAGCTGAGGAGAAGGAAAAGGCATGGTATTTGGAAGAAGTATGATTACAAGGTGGTGACTGAGAAAAACTCCCATTTTTCACTTTCTACGCTGATGGGATTTCCTGGCTCTACCGTGGTCACACAAGTGGATCCCTTTAGGTCCTCCTGAGGATTATATTACCAGCCCAGTTCCTGGTGGTAATGCACATGACCATAGTAGTGCTTTTTTTTTTTCCTCAAGGAGATAGGGGTCTCACTCTTGCTCAGGCTGGAGTGCAGTGGCACAAACATAGTTCACTGTAACCTCTAACTCCTGGACTCAAGCAATCCTCTCGGCCTCCCAAAGTGCTGGGATTACCGGTGTGAACCTGTCAAAATCAATGGCTCAGTTATAGAACTCGATACTGCTGTAATCGAGAAGCAGTGCTTTTGCCGTGAGAAACTCCAAGCCAAATCAAACACCCCGGCCTTGACAAGCGTAACAACACTGCCCCACCATGTGGTTCACTAGGGAATATCCTGTGTGTGGAAACTACATTATCCTAACCCTTTCTCCCACAAATAAAGTTACACAGGAGAAGTCAGTACCACTGGCAATAAATTAATAGATATTGCTGCCAGAGACTAGCCCTCTTAGAGTGGAATATACAGGCATTTCTAAGAGGCAAGGTAGCTCACTTTGTAATGGACAGAGCAAAGCCATAATTACAGCGCTCCACCTAAAGCCCACCTGAGACTCTGCAGCCTTCTAAAGCGTTTAAAAGACAGGTGAAAATGACTAGACATCAAGCCCTTGTTAAAGAAAACCAGTTTATTTTAAAAAGCTCTAAATGCCCTGTGCTTGGTCCCTGGTCAGGGAAAGAGGTCTCAAGAGTTACTACCTGCACAGGGGCTGAAGGTACGGGGTGGGGGGAAGTCAGGTTTCAGTTGGTTGAGTCCTACCTCATCTGTTAGGCTTTTCTTTTTTTCTTTTTTTTTTTAAGGACAGTCTTGCTCTGTCCCTCAGACTGGAGTGCAGTGGGGCCATCTCGGCTCACTGTGACCTCCTCCTCCAGGTTCAAGCAAGTCTTGTGCCTCAGCCTCCCAAGTAGCTGGGACTACAGGCACGCACCACCACGCCCAGCCAATTTTTGCATTTTTAGTAGAGATGGAGTTTCCCCATGTTGGCCAGGCTGGTCTCGAATTCCTGACCTCAAGCGATTCGAACTACCTCAGGCCTCTCAAATTGCTGGGATTACAGGCTAGTCTCGAATTCCTGATCTCAAGCGATCCACCTATCTCAGGCCTCTCAAAGTGCTGGGATTACAGGCATGAGCCACCACAGCCGGCCTGTGTTAGGCATTTTTAAGGAGATGGCAGTCCACCTCCTGGTGATAAGAAAATGTAGACTCCCAAGATTCATATTTTTTTCTTCGTAAGTTAAGCGGAAGTCATTTGCCTCTGTCATGAGTTCCAAGACCACAAAGTTTTAAGAGCTGCTGGGATAGCAAATGAGGCTTGAATTCTGTGTTGACAAGCCCACACACCTCATTTCACTTAGTATCCAAGAGATAAACACCACCTCTTCTACTTCAGGACTGTCATCTTGGCTTTTCTGCCATAATCCCGAATCAGGCCAACTCTCCTCCTCCTCGGATTCGTGTGGTGGGATGCCAGGCAGCGACATCCTTCTTTCACAGAGCAGGAAGTCTGACTGTAGACCCGGCTACTCCCCAGCCAGTGAGGGTCCGCAGTGGGCACTTCGGCCTCCTCGTGAGGGGGGGTCCAGGGTTCTGGTGAGATGCCCCAGGCGGGGCCACTTCTCAGCCCTAGCTCTGGGCCAGCACAGTGCCCCGGTTTGGCTGCACCAACTCACAAGCTCTCAGCTGGGGTTCTGGCCGGGTGGGCTCGGCTAGAAACAGGTTAGACAGTGTTGCTAATTCTTCAGCAAAGTCCTGGAATACGTAGAAAGATGAGGAAAAAGGCAGTATGTAATTCTCAATGGCTCATCCTTTTTCACTAAAGACCACAACTGGCTGGCTACATTATTTTTTCTCAACTGCCCTCCACACTGAAATGGACATGAAACCTTGTCTGTTAGTACTCTGGGAGGCTGAAGTTATGGCAGGGAGTGAACCCTGATGGGGGAGGCACAGGCTTTACCAGTTTTTGAGTACTACTGAGTACATCTACTTCCATCTTGAAATTATTAGTCCCATTAAAAGATGAATTATTTTGCCCCAAATTAAAAATCCACTTAGTTTGGCCCCATCACTTGCTTCCTTTCAGGACAGATGGGATATGTAACACCTGTTCTCTCTACACGTAAGGCAGGAGACTCCTTACCCCTGGCCACTGGGCCTGGTGGAGGCTGCCCAGGCAGGCCTCTATCTCCATCCTTCCCATCAGACCCTTCTCCACCAGCTCCCGGAGCAAGAATAGCAGCAAGTCCCACTGCAAAACACCGAGAAGGTCAGGGTTGCTAGGGGGATGGCAGAGTGACCCTAATGACACACATTGAGATCTCAAAGGACAGAGCTGCTGGGAAGAGACTTGAGATGGATAAATGGAGTCCATTTCTGTGTGGAACAGAAGAGGGAAATAGAGCAGCTCATAGTTTGAGGCAAGGGTGGTGCATGTTCGGAGTGTGACTGCAGAGGGCTGAGATGCCTCCTCCTTCTGTCTGACTCACCTCCCTGGGCCTTGTGTCTGCCAGAAGCCCCACGTTTCTTGGGCTCAGCAGCAGCTGCAGCGGAACTGGCCCCTGAAAGTCTTCCTTCCACAAGGAAAGCAGCATGTGCAGAAGCCTTCGAGCCTGCCCTCTCTCCAGCCTGTACTGTGCCGGGGGACCTAGGATGGGAATTTGGTCTGCAACTGTGGAAAGAGAGGAAAGCCAAGCTTTAAGAGATGGGAGCAGGCTGGGCGCGGTGGCTCACGCCTGTAATCCCAGCACTTTGGGAGGCGGGCGGATCATGAGGTCAGGGGTTCGAGACCAGCCTGGCCAACATAGTGAAACCCCATCTCTACTAAAAATACAAAAATTAGCCGGGCATAGTGGCGGGCACCTGTAGTCCAGTTACTTGGGAGGCCGAGGCAGAGGTTGCAGTGAGTCGAGATTGTGCCACTGCACTCCAGCCTGGGCAACAGAGCAAGATTCTGTCTCTCAGAAAAAGAGAGATGGGGACAGAAGAGGGCTCTGTTTCTAATCTTGCTTGTACCCAACCGTGAGATCTAGGGGATCAGGCAAAAGAGGGATTTGATGGAAAGGAGCCATACCGAGGAGGGAAGCTAACTCCACAGAGCACTTTGCCAGATGCTGCTCAGCAGGTGGGCACAGGAACTGCAGTGGGCGGGGGAAGAGAGAGCATAGGTATCACCACGCTTACTGCTGCGAGAACCAGCACTAAGCCAGTGTGGCTCTGGTTATCAGGTCTCACACGAGGACAAAGAAAAAAGCAGCCCTTGAGTGGCAGATGCCACATCTCACCTGGCGGCACCGCAGTGTCTGGCCCAGCTGGCCTAGGAGCTGTTCCAGATGCTCTGGGGAAACTCCCTCGTCAGGGTCCCGTGGCCCCACGGCCAAGGAGAGCACGTCCTGTGGAGAGCAGGGGAGACGTTACCCTGCGCTGGGGACCAGGATGCCACAGAGAATTGGGCTTGGGACAGGGATCGGCCAGTGGGGAGAGGCAGCATAGGGCCCAGGGTATGGTGAGTGAAGCCAAGTTGCTCCCAGGCCTGGGACTTGGGCAGGACGGCACAGCCAGGGGAAGCACCACGTGGACAACGAGAGAGGGAACAGATGGAGGAGGTCAGCTGAGGGACAGCAGGCTGCCACAGCATGGGAAACGTCACTCAACTTGGGCCCAAACTGTAGCTAACCAATTCCCATAGGGCATCTTATTCCTGAAGCATGTAAGGAAACTGGCCTATCAGATACCGTCTTAGTATCTTCTGTCTCTGAAGCCTCTCTGTTCATCTTCTCTGGAGAGCTGAGTTTTCAATGCAGAAATCCTCTGCATATTGACAACCAGTATCAAATGGCCACTAAGCCTCTCTCTCCTACATAATCTCCATTTTTAGTCATTGCACCTTAGTCCCTATTCCAATCTCTATTCCTAGATCATACCCTAAACCAGAACCAGACAGTAAATATTTTAGGCTTTGCAGGCCATAAAGTCTCTGTCCCAGCTATGCAACTCTGCTGTTCAGTAGTTGCACAAAAGCAGCCATAGACAGCTCGCACACCAATGAATACGGCTGCATTCCACTAAAACTTCACCCACAAAACAAGGGGCAGGCTCGCTTCAGTCCATGGGCTGTTTGTTGACTCCTGCTCTAGACAGTCCTTGAATTTTAAAATCAAGTTAGGAGAACCAATGGTTTATTCTTACTGCCTATAACTAAACGAGCATCACCTCTCGCATAGAACATTTCTGAAATTGTCTCCAAATACTGGGCGACTGCTTCCTAGAGACTCATTTGCTATCAAACCATTCACCACCCCACTCTCATTGCCATCTGCATAATAAGCATTTAGTCAAAAATGTCTTATCTACCCTTTTCCCCTTTTGGATGATTAAAAAATCAGAGTGACAATTAGGAAAACCATTCAATTCAGCTCTGCCCTACCTAACCCCATTCAGTAATGAGTGAAATGGGGACTAGTGGACAGCACAGACAGCTTCTACATAAAAATCCTGGAGCTGATGTGAGAACAGCAGGGAGAGGGAGCAGGGAAGCCAAAGGGAGTAGGGTAGCCGTGTACTTTGATCTCGGAGATGAGGTGGGAGGGGAGGGGAGCATGGTGCTCACAGGCGCGGGAGCAGCCCCTCCGCTCCCCCCGGGCAGCAGGTTCAGGACCCTGGGCTCGAAGTGTGCGACTCACTGCTGCTTTCACCTCCCTCCTGATCAGTGCTGCGGGGCAGAGGGAGAATGGGAAAGGAATCACGGGGGAGCCCTGCGCAGGCTCGCCATGCTGACCCACGCCTGTTGCTGTTTCCTCCTGGCTCTTGGCCCCATCTCCCCCAGAATGCCTGCGACTCTCTGCCAGTCCACTTTTTAAACACTCGATTCAGCCATTCCCCTCTCCTGGACCTTACCTGTGATATTGGCTGATAGCCAAGCACAGGCTTTCTCTGTTGCAAGCCCCACAGCAATGTTCTCTGCACTGCTCAGAACCTGCGAACCAGAACTAGAGTCAGGGGCTAGGGAAGGGCTGGGTGCAACAAGGGATGCCAGAGTTGGGCACCGACCCTGCCCCCCACCACCAGCTTCACACAGCTGTGTCTGCACACAACTACTCCGTGCACCTCTCCCACAACCGCCTGGCCTGCTAGCTGCAGGCCTCCCTCCCACGTACGGCTGCCGGGGTCTCCTCTGGAAGCAGCGCCCGCACAGCCCCAGGGCTCCTCCTTAGGCAGAACCTAAAAGGAGACAGACTGGGTCAGTGGTCTCTGGGTATTTCAGCTTGGCTGTAGAAGTAAATGCCCAGAGTGCACCAAGCATCTGGTCTGGGAGGCTGTACCTTGGAAGGAGGCACCGTTTGCCCTTCCGCCCCATCCCGGGTGCCAGAGAAAAGAGAAGCCCAACTGCCAGCCCCACAGCATCATACATACTCCAAACTTAGGTCTGGATTTTGTGCCACAGAAGGCCTACAGCCAGTGCAGGGCTTACAGAGGATGGGGGCGAGGAGAAGAAAAAAGGAGGCGTGGAGAGACGGGAAAAAAGAGTAAGTGTGAAAGCGGAAAGAAAAGACGGAGAAAGCCAAGAGGAGAGTGGATCAAATGGACCAGCGCTGCTTACTCCCGCCCCAGGGCCAATGCCTGGGCCCCGTGGGGGCACAGCTGGGAACACAAGATCTCCAACAGTTGGGCTGGGTCTCCCCCTTCCTCTCCCTGTGTCACCAGCTGCTCTTGGAGAAGTGACTCTGCCTGGCGCACCAGATCTGCCACCAGTGTAGCCCTGCAGCAGGGACAGCAAGGTGGGGGTGGTTGGAGGGTTAATCGGAAAGGGGCTGCACATTTAAGGGAATTTCCTTCAAAACATGTCCGCCACTTCAGCCCCACACCCGCCCTCTGGCTGACCTCCTCAGCTTAGCAACTGAGGAAAAAGGGGAAAAAATGGTAGGGCGATGAGACCAGGATCCTTAACCCACTCTTACTTGATATGTTTGACACAGTTTGATCCAATTCTCTCTGCCACAAACTCTACAGTCCGGCGCAGGGAGGGTGGCTGGTTGTGGAAAAAGGCCTGGGCGAGCCGCGCCTGGCGGGAGAAGGGAGAGGCAGCGAGGCTTCCTCTGACCTCCCCCCACCTCCCCACTTTCCCCCGTGGCTGTCTCCGCCCTGCCCTTACCTGCAGCCCCTGGCTGGTCTGGGAAGGCTGGGCTCCCAGGCCGGTGGTTGTGGTGGGGGTGATTTTCCTCATGAAGCCCCCACTCCGTCCACTGCTGCCTGACACCCACAGCGCCAGCAGTTTCCGGAGCTCCCCTGCGTCAGTAAGTCCGAGTTCTCAGTTCCAGCACCCTCTCCCCAAGTATCAGAATTGATTTGTGCAGTCAAGAGGCTCAGACACCCAGGGATGACTATGAACGGAGCAGTATTCGAGGGAGCTGGGCCAGGGGGCGCCTTCTGGGTGCTCATGGAGGGGGCAGACCAGGGGCCCTGCAGGGAGATGGGTGCTTACCGATGTAGGGGCAGCAGGTGTAGAGCAGCTGCTGGTCCACCACAGGCGCGGCGTCCTGGGGAGAACAGGCTGGGGTCGGCAGGCTGCCCCTCCCCCAGCGCGCCCAGGAAACAGGCATTTGGCAGGGCGTTTACAAGGGTTACATCTGCCCCTGGCCGGGCCTCCCCACGCAGCCCACTTCCTTTATTCCTGAGTTTCCCATGGCTCTAGCTGGACCCCAGCACTCACCAAGCCATGCTCTGGGGCTACTGTGTCCACCTCAAAGGCATCTGAGGGACCCTCTTCCAGAAAGAACAAGTCCTCAGGGACTGTGGGAATCTGGCAAGACAGGAAGACAGTCACAACTCAGGTCAACTTCAGAGACCCCCACCCCACCCCACCTCTTGCATGGTCCCAGGGAGAAGGTGCCAGCTTCAAAGCAGCCTCCTCTGAGACGATGGGAATCACCAGGCCTTTCCTGAACCTTTGTCTTCCAGCCCTTGCCTCATTCGTACTCGGACATTTGCCCACTCCGCATCTTCAGCTGCAGAACCACTCCCAACCTGGACCCTCACTCTGCCCACCTGGAAAAGCCAGCCCAGGACAGCAAGTAGCAGCAGCTTGTTCAGGAAACACATCTTCCCCTCACTCTCCTGCGACAACACCAACCTCCTGAAACATCAGTGGGCAGTACCCAGGATTGAGCAGAAAGGGGAAGGGAACGGAGGAGGCAAACGCTGTCACTGGAGGCTGGCTCGCAAAAGCAGAACTAAAAGGGACTGGGGCCATGTCGGCAAGCAGGATCCCCCCAGCGCCCCCTCCTGCATGGGGGCTGTCTCTTGGTGGGGCCACCTCGGGAACAGCATGAAGCCAATGAAAGTGCAGATGTCGTCCCACCATCCACCTCAGGGGAGCCAATCCTGCCTCTCCCAGGGCTCAGTTATGGCCGGGGCACCACACACACATGCAGACTGCTCGACCCTCTTTATCAATAGCAGGCTTGACCAATGTCCCCTGACTCCCGAGTCCTTTCGTCAAGCCTTAGCCTTGTTCCACTCACCGGTGCAGGCGCAGCAGGAGAATGAAGATGTCCCGGTAATAGTCCAGCAAGGGAACAACATGGTCAGCAAAGGAGAGAAACTCCACCAGCCAGGGCACGGTGAGCACCGCCCGGCGGGCCTGCAGCCCTCGCTGCAGCAGAGTCCGCACATCCAGGACCGGAGGGACCTGGAAGGAAGGGCCAGAGCTCAGTCAGGTGGGTCCCTAGGAAGGGCTGAGAGGTGCCCTCTAACCTGCCTGGTTTCCAGAATAGCCAAGGAAACCAGTCAGCTTCAGTGCCTGGCTGGTCCTCCCTGCTCCCTCCTCACCAGAATCCCCCGCCCATTCACCTGGCTCCTGAGGGCCAGAATGGAGTCCTGAAGCTCACCGGTCGGGGGAGGTTCAGGCCCCCGGTATGGCAGGAAAGCCACAAAGCCCAGGAATTTAGCCAAAAGTCTCAGGCTAAGAAGCACCACAGCAAATTGCCTCCGCTCACCCTGCATGGAATCAAGGGAAATAAAAGGTCCAAGCATGAGGCTTCCAGAACAATTCCCGGTCTGTTACAAAGTTCTTCTTCAACATACTCCCTTCCCTCCTGGGTCAGACCCCATGATTTCCCTTGTTCTGTTTTCAGACCTGCCAGTCTACATCTGACTCCCCGTCTTCATCACTGGGCTCATGCTGGGGCAAGGCCAGGCCATTGAGCTCCCGGATCTTCAAGCTCAGACTGTCCATGAGATGCTGGTTAAACTGGAAGCTGAGAAGAAGGGGTGGGTGGGGCATAAGTACTGGAAAAGGTACAGGAAGAGCCAGAATCTAGAAGGGGCACTCCAGAGGGAAGGGAGCAGCCGGACAGACAGGGAGGCCCAGGAGCAATGAAATCACCCACATGGGTGACAGAATGAGAAGTGCAATGAAGCCAGCAAGTACGAGCTGGAAGGAGCCTATCTCCAGGCAAAGGAGACTGGAGAACTATTTACCCTTTTGGGAAGCCAAACCTTTCCTGGCCTTTGCCCCATTCCTTGCAAGACACAGCGGAGCCTACCTGCTGGCACTAAGGATGAAGTCCCTAAAGAAGCCTTGACAGCCTGGGAAGGTGGGGGGTGGGCAGGGCCCCCCACTGCTCTGAGGAGCCATAAGCCGTTCCTGTAGGCGCCACAACCGCCCCAGCTTGTCAGCTCCCAGCATACTCAACACATCTGGGGCCTCGCCCAAGACGGTGCCCCCAGCACCACCAGGGCTCTGACACATCTGGGGTGGAAGAGGAAGGAGAGAAATTAAAAAATCAGTAAGTGGGAGGGAAGGACTGAACAAAAAATGAGAAGTAATGAACATTTAAGGAATGCCAACTGTGTCAAGTGCTTTAGATTTTCTGAGGTGTGAATTACAGTATTGTTTCACAGGTGAAGAAACTGAAACTCCAAGGTTAAGCATGTGCCTAGGGTCACTAGAGCTAGGATCTGAAACAAAGCTTGATTACTTACTAAGCCTGGGCTCTTTACCACAGCACAAATCAAAGGGAAGGCAGCAGCAGGCTGGGGGAGGTGCAGGGCCCAGGACATGTCAGAGAGTGTGCCCTGGCTTTTCTTTGGCCACTGGAGTTTCAGCCACTCCGCAAGGAGTAGAACTCTTGTTCAAATTCCAGCCCAGGACCTGCCAGGCTGTCCGCTCTATCCCAAAGTGCAGCCGTTACGTGGCTGCCTATGATACCTGCTGTTTCATGTCGATTAATCTCTTGCTGGGGCTGTTACCTGGAGTAGTTGTTTCTGGAAAAGCCGAACAAAGTGGCTGTGGCTGCAGGCTGCAGACAGCTGGCCCATCATGGCCCTGAGGAATAGAAGGCGGGAATGAAGGGTGTGGAGAGGAGAGGGAGAGGGAGAAAGATCTCAGAGAAGCAGCGAACACCTGGACTTTCCAGCCCTTTACCAGGGACTTGAGCAGACCTCAGCCAGAGCCTGCCTGCACAGGGACACTGAAGGCAAGGGACACTCCCTCAGCACCAAGGTCCTCTGAGGCTAGAGGTGCGCTTAACCAAACGAGAAATCATGCCACCCTCCCGTCTTCAGCCACACTGACAGGCGGCGAGCTTCATGAGCAATGTGACTGGACTGGGGTTCGCGTGCTGAGCCCAGGCATCTACCTACACAGTGGCCAGACTTGCCCAAACTAGAGGATGGAGAAGATGGAGGCTGGATGTGTCTAACCAGTGACTTGGGCCAAAAAACCTCAAGCAGCCTGGGGTAAGAGCTTTGGACTTTCTAAGCAACTGCCACTATAGAACAAGGATAAGACACCTGTGAGTGGAAGGAGCTGGAGAGACATCCCTTTCGAGTAGAGGCAGAGTTATCAATAACTAAAGAGATTTTGGAGGCTAGAAGAAAACAGCTCATGGCTGGAAGGAGCAGGGGAAAAGCCTTCCCTCCTCCATCCCTCCTGCCACCGACCAGTACTGAGCTACTCATTGCCAGGCGCAAGACAAGGTCTGAGCACCCACCTGATTCTGCTGCCCAAGCCCTTCTCAAAATCCCAGCCAGGCTCCTCATGGTGATCTTCCCACTCTCGCAGCACCTCATAAAACACATCCCTGACGCATAAGAACACCTGATCAGCCGAGGCACTCACTCCCACCAGTGCCTTCCCACCCCTGGAAGAACTGAGGACAGGACTATCCACAGCCCACCCACCACCTTTTTTTTTTTTTGGAGTGGATCCTTCTTGCTTGCTGAAACCACACACCGGCTCGAGCAAGACGCCGACTCTCCGCTCAACTGCGCACCTCGTCCGCCCCCCTGGGTTCCAAGGCGAGTCCTTCGGCCTCACTGCCCCCGACGTAGCCTGGGGATACAGTGGCGCCCACCGACATCTCCGGCTAATTTAATTTTGCGAGCTAGCGAGACGGTAGGCTCACCATGTCGGCCGTCGGTCCCAACGACTCCCACCTCAGTGCTCACCCCTTCCGCCCCTCCCAAATTCGCCTGGGAGTCACAGGCAGCGGAGCCTACCCACGCAGCACCACCCGGGCCACACCTTTTCTTATTGTGCTTCAGTTCCCTACATGAGAACCAAGTGCTACAGACCGACAGCACACTACATGCTTCATGACCCTGTGGGCAGTGACAGTCATTCTGGAACACATTCTCGCCTGAGAACCGCCGAGAACAAAGCCACACGCTGTAGACCGCTGCACGTCAAGGCTCCGGGGTT